CTGCAGCTGCGCATACACCCGAGACTCTCTTGTCAGTTCAAGCTGCAGAGACACCGAAAAAATAGCGGGCTAACAACGAGCCAGACCCCAACAGCAACAGCAACACCAGCAGCAGCAGCAGCAGCAACAAAAACAACAGCAACAGCAGCAGGGAGAGGGAGTAGAGAAGCAGCAGCAGCAGCAGCAGCAGCAACAGGATGGGGGGCCCCATGGGTAAGGACCCCATGCCAGCCCCCGTTATCCTTAGGCTGCCTCCCGGTCCTCCTGCTGCTGCTGCTGCTGCTGCTGCTGCTGCTGCTGCTGCTGCTGCTCGGGGCCCTGCAGCAGTTGCGTCACGAGGGGGCCCCCCCTTTCAGGGGCCCCCAGTATACTGCATGCGCCCACCTCCCCCAGACCTTTCGGGGCCCCTGGGGGCCCCCCACCCCCGCCAACCCTTCAGCAGCAGCTCAGTAGGGGGCCCCATCATTCTCCCTAGGCCGCAGCACCCCGCTGGGGGCCCCCCTGCCGGCGGCAGCAGGGGCCCCTACTACAACAAGCGGCACCACGGGGGGCCCCCTGGGGGCCCCCATGGGGGGCCCCATGGGGGGCCCCCCAGAGGGTACGGTAGAGACAGCAACCCCTTATTACCTGCTGGCCAGGGGGGGGGGCCCCCCGGGGACCCCTTACAGATGCATATAGCTCACGGCTACCGCACGGGGGGCCCCCCAGCAGACAGCATGGGGGGCCCCCCCCCATCAGGGGAGCGGGGGCCCCACTACCCCTCAGAGCCGCAAACAACTCACTGCAGCAGGGGCCCCCGGTACCCCTGTATGTATGGGGGCCCCCCTGAATGCTTCGACAGAAGAAGGGGGCCCCCAGGGCCCCCTGGCAGCCAGGGCCCCCAAGGGCCCCTGGGGCCCCTGGGGGGCCCCCCACCCCCTAGCCCCCCCACCCCATCACCGCCACAGCAGGGCCTCTCCCCGCCTAGCCGCAGGGGCCCCCGCGGCCGTAGTCCCCTCGATGGGGGCCCCCTTGGGGGGCCCCCTGGGGGCCCCCATGGGGGCCCCCATGGGGGCCCCCACGGGGGCCCCTTCCCTGGCTATAGAGAGAGGGAGAGGGCCTACTACTCCCCCCGAAGGGGCCCCCGTCACCTGCCTCATAGAGCTGTTGCCGTGGGTACTAAAGGGGGCCCCTTGCTGCCTCGTGAGCGCAGCAGCCGCAGCAGCCGCAGCAACAACAGCAACAGCAGCAACCACTGCAGCAGCAGAAGCAGCATCAGCTGCTGCAGCGGTGCCGAAGGGCAGCAAGAGCCCCCCCCCATGCATTATACAAGAGACAGCAGAGACTACGATGTAGGGGGCCCCCTATAGAACTGCTGAAGGGGGGTGGGGAGACAGCAAGTACGAGTGGGCAGCTAAAGCTCACAGGGCTGCATGCAGCGGCAGCAGCAGCAGCAGCAGCAGCAGCAACAGCAGCAGCAGCAGCAGCAGCAGCAGCAGCGGTGGCGGCGCGAGCAACGGCTTCGGGCTCAGCAGCATGACGAAGGCCTATGGTAGGCGTGACAGCAGCAGCAACTGCAGCAGCAGCAACTACAGCAGCAGCAACTACAGCAGCAGCAACTATAGCGGCAACAACTATAGCAGCAGCAACTACAACAGCAACAGCAGCAGCAGCAGCAGCAGCAGCAGCAGCAACATGCTGAAGCGCATGCACCCGACCAAGTTCCCTCCCCCCCCTCCAGAAGATGGGCAGCAAGATGCAGCAGCAGCAGCAACAACTGCTGCTGCTGCTGCTGCTGCTGCTGCAACGGCTGCGTTTGCAAGGGGGGCATTAGCAGCACTAGCTAGGCAGCAGCAGCAGCAGCAAGAGCAGCAGCAGCAGCAGCAGCAGAGAGAACAGCAGCAACAGCAATACCAACACCAGCAGCAGCAGCAGCAGCGCCAGCAGCAGCAGCACCAACACCGCCAGCAGCAACAACAACACCAACAGCAGCAGCAACAGCAGCAGGAGAAAAGGGAGCCGTTGCAGCAGCAACAGCAGCAACAGCAGCAACAGCAGCAACAGCAGCAACAGCAGCAACAGCAGCAACAGCAGCAACAGCGGCAACACCAACAGCAATTGATGCAGCAGCAAGCACTGCAGGAGCAGCAGCGACAACAGGAGGATGAGCTGCAGCAGCAGCAACAGCAACGGCAGCAGCAGCAGCAACAGCAGCAGCGGCAACAGCAGCTGCAGCAGCAGGAAACCCTGAAACAGCTGCAACAGCAGCAACAAGAGGAACAGAAACGCCTGCAGCAGCAGCAGCAGCAGCAGCGGTTAGACAAGAAGCAGCAACGACAGCAACACGATCCGCAGCAGCAGCAGCAGCAGGAGCAGCAGCAGGAGCAGCTAGATGAGCAGCAGCAGGAATGCCTCGAGCAGCAAAAGCTGCAGCACCGCCTGAAAAGCCATCAGCAGCACGAGCAGCAGCAAGCGCTGCTGCAGCAAGAACTGCTGCAGCAGGAACTGCAGCAGCAACAGCAGCACCAGCAACAGCAGCAGCAGCAGCAGCAGCAACAGCAGCAGCAGCATGAACTGCAGCAAGAGCAATCTAGGCTCAAGCGATGCAAGCACGAGCAATTGGAAGAACAGCAGCAGCAGCAGCAGCAGCAGCAGCAACTGCAGCAGCAACAGCAGCAGCTGCAACAAGAGCGACAGCAGCAACAGCAGACGATGGAGCGACAGCAGCAGGAGCTGCGGCAGCAGGAGAAACAGCAGCAGCAACAGCAGCAAGAGCAGCAGCAACAGGAGCAGCAAAAGCAGGAGGAACAGAAGCA